GTCCATGTACTTTTTGGTAATTCGTTTTTCTACATGGTAACGACAATGTTAAACTTCCTGTCGAGAAAAAGAAAATGACGGGCCGTTTTCGTTTTTTTTTTATGCTAGTTACTTTAATGCATTTTAAAATTATTAACAATTTTGCACATCTTACAAGCATAAAAAACTAATGAAGAACAAAAAAGTAATAAAAAGGAAGAAAGAAAAAAATCAAGACAAAAATAGAAAAAAAGGAAACAAAAATGTGAGTTACAGAGTTAATTTGAACATGCTTGCGCTCTAAAAGTATCTGTTTTTAATGGACTGACCAGTGACGTAGTTCCGTCATAATGGAAGCCACGTATGTCACTTCCTGTTTCTACCTACTGCCTAGTGTTGTTGGTAACTAGACCATCATGAAAAAGACGCAAAAGCTAAAACATCTGCAAGCTACTGGTACCACAAGTGAGTTCTGTTGTGTGCCGTTTTGTCGACTCAACAGCAGGTACAATAGATTAGTTAGTTTTTTTCATTTTCCTGCTGAAGAGCAGCTAAGGCGACAATGGATCGTGGCTGTCCGCAGGGAAAACTTAGTTATAAAACATCACACTCGCRTTTGCATTCGGCATTTCAAACCTGAGGATATCCAAGAGCCAGAGTCAGAAACAGGAAGACGGAGGTTGAAGAAGGGAGCTGTGCCTGTTTTGTTCGARTGGAACAATTTCTCCCTTCCACTTCCAAGACCACCTCCAGAGGACAGAGAGCAGGAAGACAACACAACAGTCTGTGTATCTAGTGAAGACGCCCTTAAGGATCATGATTATGCCACGGCTCCAGACCCTGCAGTTGTGGATTTCGTGCTGGAGGAAAACAATACTCTCCTGAAGAAAATGCACCAGCTACGGGAAGAGGTTGAGAGCCTGGCCCTGAGGCAGAGGTTCGGCATTCACCACTTTGCTGCTTCTGACAAGGACATTACATTCTTCACAAGGTGTGTGTGTGTGTGTGCGTGTGTGTGTGTGCGCGCGCGCGCGCGCTTATTTCTACTACAGAGTGAGGACCATTTGCACCATAATTACTATCAAAGTAAGGACCTCTTCAATGTCCTCACATTGTTTGCAGTTCTGCTGCTCATTTCTAGTTAGGTTTAGAGGTATGGTGTGAATTAAGTTTTGGTCCAGGTTAGGATTAACTATAGACCAGTAATGGTTAATTTTAGGGAAAATGTCTGGGTGAGGTATAAATACAGTTACAAAAAAGTATGGAAGTCAATACAAGTCCTCAGTTTGATACAAGTACAAGGATGTGTGTGTGTGTGTGTGTGTGTGTGTGTGTGTGTGTGTGTGTGTGTGTGTGTGTGTGTGTGTGTGTGTGTGTGTGTGTGTGTGTGTGTGTGTGTGTTTATTTATTTATTTAGTAGAATAATTTGGAAGATGATGAATGAATTTTATTTATAAGGACAATGTGCAATTAAAACATAAGCAGAAAAACATTTGATGCATTGCATCAGATTTAGCCTACGGCTAGTTTACATCTGCAGCCCTCAACACAACATCCAACAATGATAAAAACAAGAAAAGAAAATAACAGAAAAATGAAAACAATAAAAAATAAAACATTTTACAATCAACAATAAAAATACATAAACACCCCACCCCACTCTCCAAACACAATAAAAAGGTTATATCACTAAACGTACTTAAATATACATTGATGTTAAAAATGCCACATCAATGTATATGTTTAAGAGAATGATAAAGATTTGATTGTAAAAAAAAATGAAATGGTTTAATATGTAGCCATTCAATTTGTTGTTCTAGAAAAATTCAATGTTTTGTTAACTGAAGATTATTATAGTTTGAATTTATACTTGAAAAAAAGGGGCAGATATTGCAAGTTTTTTTCTTCTCTCTGTCACCTTTCATTTCATTTTATTTGTATCCATTCAATTTGTTGTTCTAGAAAAATTCAATGTTTTGTTAACTGAAGATTATTATAGTTTGAATTTATACTTGAAAAAAAGGGGCAGATATTGTAAGTTTTTTTCTTCTCTCTGTCACCTTTCATTTCATTTTATTTGTATTTTATTTTTTATTGTACATAAAATTTTGTTTTTATGGAATGAATAAAAGTTTGAAATAAATAAAAAAATAAATTATATGTATGATTCTAGGATACTAACCTCCCACATWTTGAAGTTGGAATATGTGACCCATCACATCAAAATGAGGATTAGTTGCCAGGGAGGAATGTGAAAAAATAGGCAGATATAGTGTTTAGGGCTGTGTATTGGGAAGAATTTGGCGATACGATACATATCATGACAGAGGGGTCACGATACGATATATCCCGATATATTGCGATACTGTAAGCAAGGCGATATGTTGTGATATATATTGCGATATTTTTTGGTCCAAAAAATTCTGTTAAATAAAAACCTCTTACTGGAAAATAAAAAAGAAAAACCAAAATTCATTGTCTCAGAAAATTCTATTACATAGACATGCGCTAGCCTTCTGTAACATGAAGGTTGACTAAAGTTGGAAAAAAGAGCGCACGAGACACTTAATTTGGTTTAAAATACAGACATTTTGACAAATAAGTAACTGTTCGTAACCATCCCTCAGCTTAGAAGGCAGAGAGTGTCGTCTTTTCCACTCAGATTCAGCTATCGGAGCATGACGCTAATGTTTACTCACAATGCTAATGCTCTCTTACTCTCTGGTGCTCAAGAGGTAGAGTAGCCAAATGGCTGGCTCACTGCTGCCAACTAGTGGTCAGAGGCTGAACTACAACATAAAAAATGAACAGCTGGCAGGAAAGTTGACATTTTAAACCTTAATAAAAAATCAATATAGGGCTTTAGAATATCGATACAGTATCGGGAAATGAAATATCGCGATATTTCAGTATATTGATACTTTCTTACTCCCTAATGGTGTTTTGATTAAAAGGCTTGCAGTAATTGCCCTTTGTAGGACTATAATGAACTAAAACCCCAGTGTATCATTTGAATGAACCGTACAAAATGTAATCCTAAATAAAATTATTGAAGCACTTTTTGAGAAGTAACAACACAAATCCTGATTTTGAACAAAAACACTGTAAATCTTTAGAAATCTATTTGCCCGCTGACACCAGGGTTAAAATTCTTGGTTGACAGGGTGGGGGGGTAAATGTCCTGGTACTTACACTGCGCTCAAAACGAGGTCAAGGGTTAAATTAGTTTTTAATTATGCTGTGTAGTAAAACATGAACATGATTGTTATGGCATGTCTGTTTTAATCAGGTTTGCATCATATGACCACCTGATGCATTTCTGGACCATGATCAAGCCCTTTCTGCCGTCTATGGTCCGTGCTCACCAAGGACCAGGAGGAGCTGCCCTCGACTCCACTCCCTCAACCCATACTTTGCAGCCCATTGATGAGTTTTTCCTGTTTTTGAATTACCTCTCCCTTGGATCCAAGCAACAGGACCTCGCTGACCGCTACAGCGTCCGTCAGTCCACTGTCCTCCAGATCATCACAACATGGAGCAACTTCTTATTTACAGTATTAGGTCCGATTAGTATCTGGATACCGGAGGAGCAGATACGCAAAAATCTACCCGCAGCCTTCAAAGATTACCCTGACACAACAGTCATCCTTGACTGCACTGAGCTGAGGTGTCAGTACCCATCGTCCCCCCTCCTCCACTGCACTCTGAAAGGGCTGATTGGGATGGCGCCACACGGGGCGGTGACGTTCGTCTCAGGACTGTACACCGGGTCCATCAGTGACGAGCAGATCACACGTGAATCTGGTCTCCTCGCCCTCCTGAAACCTGGGATGGCTGTCATGGTGGACAGGGGCTTTCTCATAGACGACGTCGTTCCCTGCAGAGTTTACAAGGCAGCGTTTCTCTCCGGCAGGTCTCAGGTGTCTGCAGTGGACGAGACCCAGGCCACGGCACGCCTCAGGCTGCACGTGGAGCGCCTCATCCTCCGGGTCAAAGAGCACAAGTTATTTGACTCTGAAATTCCCGGAGGTGTTTTTGGGATAATCAGCCAACTGTACACTGTTGCTTGTCTGCTCACAAATTATGAAGACGGCCCACTGGTGAAGGCTGGTTAAAGAAGCCTGACATCTGTCTAACTGAAAGACAGTATGTTGTGTATTTACTGTTCATTTTGTTGTTTTTACTTAAAATAAAACTCAATCACTTTCATAAATATCTGCATTTCTCTGACCTTTTTCCCCCTTATAACAGTTTTTATTATTACATAAAGTATTTTTAAATAGGTTTGGCCTTCATGTGGGATATTAAAATGCATCATTTCAAAATAATACCTGCAAAGTTGCATTATTACAGGTAAAAGTTTCTATTTCTTTCTACTCCTTTTCATTCATGATTTTCCTTGTTTTGATTGTTTTATAATTGGTTTTGTTTTTATTATGAATTATTATTGTTGTTGTTGTTGTTGTTATGGCCCAAAAAAATGCGGAAGCATCAATTGCCAAAAAC